AAGGCAATGTTGAGGCAACACAGCTTTCTGAAATAGAAAGAAGATGGACAGTTTTTTGAGAAAATATCTAGCCACAAAGAAAAATGCTTTTCTTGAAGTCACTGAGGAAAAGATCCTAGAAACATATAAAAGAGTTTGAAGTTCATACCACACTGGGAAACTCCTTCAGGGCAAAGAAAAATCCAAACAAACAACACCCTATAAATGCATTTTCAAAGCTAAAAATTTCAGCTTTGAGTATTAGGATCAGGCACAGGATATAATGATCAACCTGAACTATCACAGAGTTTCACAGAAATTTATCCTAGTAGAATATCAAAGCATTTCAATCAAGGAAATATTTTAAAACTAAATATGCATTTGAGATACCAAGACAAAAACAAAAACAAAACTCCAAAAAAAAAAAAAAAAAAAACACACTACTTCTTTAATTATTCTACATCACGAAATGTTCCCAAATTAACATTTATTCCTCAGGCTAGCATAAAAATGGATGGATTTAGGCCACTCATGACTGTATTCATGAACTGTAACGAACAAAACAAAAGCTTGGACAATATCAACTCAGATTTTTCAGCATAAGAAGTACACATCTTCCTTGGACGAGCAACAAATCATTGTAATCATAAGTGGAGTACCCAGGTGACAYGAAAAAAATGATGTGTAGAAAAGATAGAGTTGTACAATTGGGTGATCCCCAGACAAGCTTCAGTGAAGTATAGCATGTCAAGGGCAAAGTCATGATTCATGAAGGTCTTATCGGCTGTCAGCAAGGAGTGGAGTACAGCCAATTCAATTTCAGAATGGCAGTCCCTACAGAGACCACCAACAAATATAAGAATGACTTGTTCCTTGGCAAACTTGTGGTTAAGAATACCTTATATCATGCTCACAGCCAATAAACTGACACCAGGTTTTCAGTACACTGGAAGTGCTCCATGTTGAAAGCCACAACGACTTGGTGGGCCCTTTATACCACAGTAGTGACTTTATTCTCACTGACAGATGAATGATTCCCAAAGGCAAATCGGAAAAGTAGTATCAGAAAAATGAACTGGGAGCATTTCAGACTTTATTAGAGAGGACTGTGACATGCAACTGCAGAAACAAGCCTTGTACTTTATACAGAGCAATAAAGAGGGCACGACTTTAGGTGTCTTTTTGATTCTTTGATAGTACAAAATTGTGAAAAATGACTACGTTTCCTATTTAAGTTTTCCCTGGTACTTTCATCTCTCAGTAGTGGTAAGACTGCAGGATTCTCACACTAGCTTTACTATATGGCATCTTATAGAGCAGAAAGCAGACCTTATATAGGGAACAATTTGCCCTTAAGCTTTCACAAGAATATATTTGGGGTGGGTGAAGGGGAAGTGAGTTTCTCTACATGTTCTTTAGAGAACTCTAAACTCTAAAGAAAATCTTTAGAGAACATTACAACTGCTTATGAACACACTTCAGGCATGACAACTCCACCAGACTGAGCGAGCAGTCCCTGAGCCAGAAGGTACATAGGAGAGTGCTTGATAGCCGTTGGTCACATGCCTTCTTCATGTAGCTTCAAAGCAGACACCGTTTTGACCAGATGGCTGCTGCCACCTAAGCTATTCTATGACTCTRTGGATTGTGCAAGACATACTTAACAAAAATTTAAGTACCACAATCTATGGGATTTCTATAAAGCAGATTATAGAGAAACAGTTTATTTCTATGTAAGCTACACGCTTTATTCTAGACAGAAAATCACAAAATGGTTGGTGATGGAGAACATTTAGTCCAACTCCCACTATTCAAAGCAGGGGCATCTACAGAGCATTGCCCAGAAGCCTGTCCAGATGGCATTTGAATGGAGACTAAGGATGGAGAGGGTGGAGACTACATCTCCTCTCTGGGCATATAGTAATTTTTCTAGCACAATAAAACATATAGAAACTAGACACTATATCAGCACAAGACCAGTGTAATCACATGTACTAGACTACACCCTAGATGGCATTTCATGTGTGTTTTATAATTGTGAAATAACTTTTAAAATATTGATCTAGTAAATGTGATTTTAAAATAACTTCATCATTGTGTTTAACCTCACATGAGCAAAAGTCATCAGAAATAATTGACTATTTCTCTAAGTAGAAATCTAGTTACAGTCTGTGGAGACAGTTCAGAAGGTGGACCTATTCTTCAATGGTAAAGATGCATACTGATACATTACAAGAAAATTCAAGGCCATAACAGCTCAGTGTAGRCCTAAAAATGGCTGCTGGAAGTAGAAAGTTTTCCTCAAATAACTGAATATTTTTGCCCTTTAACTAGCCTGAAATTTGGCACTGGACTAAAGCCAGAAGGTACAGACCTCAAGATTTGCCATCATTAAACAGAGGCAAAGAAAGCTTATCAAACAACACTTAAGAAATTCCAATAAGTCTAAGAAAAGTCTGGAGAAAAAATAGAAGTGATTTTTTTGCAGTGATCACAGTATTCATCAATATGGTAGACTGTGCAAAAAATCAAGAAGTCAGAGGAAACCCACCAAATCAACCTTATGTCAAGAAGAGAACTCAGGCCTTCACATAAAGGCATCTAAGCCACAATTACATGCCTAAGTACAAACAGTCCCGAATTCAAAGATTAACTCTATATTAATGATGATATATACTTGGAGAAAACATGAAAAAAATACCGTCAAATAGGTTTCCTAGGATGGCTCAGGTTTGGAAAAATATTATTTGTTCTCAGAAAAGAAATCATATATTTAAAAATACAAGATACACAGCAAGTTTTTCGTTGTATATTTTCAGTTACAAGTTTATATGCAGTCAATATTTCTGTTTTCTTGAAGTTTTTAAAATGTTTTTCATGTAAGTCACTATATAATGTCTTCTCTAGCATTAGCTACTGAAAACACATGAACCAAGTCCAGAGAGCATAGTTTCAACCTYGTTATCTCTATACAAAAGCAAAACAACTGCCAGAGCATAAGACAACGAGTTACCTCTTTTATCTGCAAGGAAAATTATTAAATGAAGAAAACTTAGGCTTTCTTCAATGTTTATAAGCATTGCATGTTTGAATGGAAGAGATTAATATATCTAAAAATTTAAAGAAAACTTTTGAAGAAAGTTTTTTCTTGAGGAAAAAAATCATGCTTTTTTTTTTTTTTTCTCCTTTATGGCAAACTAATAAAACTCTACACTAATTGTTTCCATTCATAACCRAAGCAATAATGGATGATAATGAAATCAAATACAGGAGGTGTGGAAAATAGTAATAATACAGGTCATTGCATTATGCGCTGCTTGATTTCATATATCTTGTTACAGACTGTCTGTATACAGTCTTGTATACAGACTATATCATAATCCGGATTGCTTGCACCTGGATCAATGCCAACGATGAAAAATGGAAAAGAAATTTAGACTTCGCATCCTGTTCCTTTACAGCACTTATATTTGCATGCACTTTTTCCTCACATTGGCTAGCAGCTTTGTGTGAAATTAATATCCTACTTGGGCATCTTATTAATCTCATTTGACACAGAACCTTCCATACTGACTTTACAAGAATGAACGTTCTGCTGTATGAAGCCCTCTACAAGCAAATATCCCAAATGGTAACTGGCATCTACAATAATGCCAACTGGAATAGACACCATCCACCTGTGACAAGGAACTAATAATGAACACACTATGAACACCACACTGTAATTTCTAATGGAAAAAAGTGTTCTTCTTGAAGTGTGGGTATACAGGTTACGCAGCCTGGGAATATTACACAGATTTCATAAACTCCACATATCAGAATACTAAGGAAATATTAAAAGAACTCAGAAATTTTAGAGGTCCTTTTCATGGTTAGGATAAAAATTTAGACAAGTTTCTCCTGTRGATGTTTTTCCAATTTGAGAAATCAGAGTATAGCCTTACTAAATCAAAAAGTAAAAGAATATTATTTGCCCAGGAAAGTGATAAAATCAGACATTACTGATGGATACACTACTAAATATTCTAAAAATTTCCAACTCTTAAGCATTGAAAGAGCTCGGTTTTACAGAAAAAGAAGACAGAGAGACTAGCTGTTCACTAACACATCTTTTAACATACTTAAAAGTATATTAAGACAGACTGCAAACTGTCATAACATCATTTATGAATGATATATATTTTTATGAAAGCAAGATAAATTTCAGATAGTAAAGAAAAAAGATTTTTCTGCGAACGTATTTAGGATATAGACATACCCTGCACTCCTGCCAACTTTTATATTATTAAAATGCTCTGCACTCAATTGAAAACCATTATATACTCCTCTCTGATCACAGGTTATCACTTGTGTGGTAGGAAGGACTTAATAGATTTCAAATAATGCAAAATTATTTTTAATGGAACTATTATATTATACAAGCCAGCATGACTGAGTCACAATGAGTAATATTGCACTTCCGAATATACAGTATCTTGATTTACTTCCTTCCTCTCTAACATAGCCTGCTGCTAAATAACAATTACATTTAACAATATGACATATGGTTTGTTTAGAAGAATTAAATCTGAGAGACATTATGCAGTTCAGTAAAATTATTTTTAATAATAAAAAAATAAAAATCACACTAGGTAAAACCAGAAAGGACTCAGGTTGAGCTACTTAAACATATAAAAAACCGTTCATTTATATCACTGCATTTAGCATATATTATGTCCATCTTGGATTTCTAAAGTTCACATCAAATGTCTCATTTCCAGTACTGAGGTCACAAAGTATAAAATGTTCATGCCTTATATTTATGCCTTCTTAAGAGGAAGTATTTTGTTTCAGAAAGCAAGCAAAGTTTCAGAAAAAATCTATTTTGGATACAAAGGCAGATTTCTCTTCTATTATACTCTCAAAACAAAACTCCACTTTCTGCAAGTTGAGGAGGTGTAAGAATGAAATTCGGTAATTTGAGACTGAAAAAAAATAATTTATATTGACTATAAGTTAAGAAAAAAAGATGTAAAACATACCTTTCTGGAATGGATTTCTTTCACATATAGTGGTAGTAGAAATTCAGATATTCCTTCAAGTCGTATTCCTTTTTTAGTGACTCTCAAATTTCCCATTCCATCCTATAAGCAATAACATATATATATATGTACATATTTCATTTGAGGAAGTTACCTTATCCAGAACAAAGTACAAAGAAGAACACAGTAGCTAGCCTAATACTTAAAAATGAGGTGTGCAAGAACACTGGTTGTGAAGTGAAAAGGAATTCCCAGAAAATAAGAGAAAAGCAAACTTTTATAGGGACATGAAAATAGGAAGGAATTTTAGAATTATAAAAATCTAAAAAGTCTTCAAGTCTTCATTTTATCAAAAATTATTTTATCAAAAGTGTTATTTTTGTCAAATAATAATAAAGAAGTATCTTTTTCATGAAGATAAATGCTTTTTTTCATGGCTAATAAGACCATGCAAGTGCAAGGCTTGTGGTGTTGGCAAGCAAAAGTCATGACTAAAGTCACTTGGAGATTCTGGGCAATAAAAGCCTTACAATAAAATAATAGAGACAAATATAGGCTATATATTAACATGATTATACATTAATCTGATTTAAGATTACTTAATCATGATAKCCTCTGAAGATCTGTCTCATGAAGATGAACTTTCGAACTCTGTAGTGTATTTCTTCTGATTTATTGCCATGTTCCCATCCACTGTCTTTGGAAATTCAGTGGGCTTATGGAGAARTTCAAATAATGACTGTTCCCATTAAAGTTTCCACTGTTCACAGCTGTCTTGAAAACCTCACACATCACCTAGGCAATTAAAGCCAATACGCARATTTTTTTGTGTTTGTTTGTTTATTTTGTTTATATCAGCAGTAGTTGCTTATCATTACACAAGARCACATTGCTGGTGAAAAAAGAAGAAATTTGACTTTTTTTGTTTGAAGKTTTTTTTTAATAGAAATGAGAAAAGGGCCATGGCATAAGTCTGAGTAAAACAAATCAAGTAATTCAATACTTAATAAAATATAAGCGTAAAACCCCAGCATCTTAGGGTTTTAGTTATACTCTTATGGGAAAAACAATGAAACTTGCTTGGTACTTAAAGAGAGGATCATTTTGCAAACTGATGGAAATCCAAGATAAATGTTCCCTGGATGCCTTGACAGGTCACTTCAATGTAGAGCCAGTGAAACTCAAACCAATCCACTTAATTATAGAACTAGCAAATTTAACTGCTGATTGTTTTGAAGCATTTGCTAACTTTACTGTAGCCAAGATGTCAGAACTTGCATTTCTTTTCTTTTGGCTGAACTGTGAAACAAGTAACCTCCACCAACTAGGCAGCCAGAAACAGCTGGATGCCAGAGCCCCCAGCTGTTTGAGCTGGATCCGGAAAGGACACACTTGATGAAATGCAGTCATGCTTATACAAAGATTCTGTTTTATACCACTATAGCTATGTCCTTTCTAAAATAACTAATGATGCCAAAATTGCAGATCTTAGAGTTATACTACTGCACCCATATCTAAAATAAAACTGTGAAAATTATTAAAGAGAGACAAAAAAAGTACAATGTAATTAGACTGATATAATTTCTAAGGACAGTCAGGGTACAAAGAGAGATAGGTTTCAAAAGCACAGCACATAATAATAGGAGAACATTATTTGGGGAATCATGCTTTTCCACATCAGTTATGAGATTTTTATAACTACGTGATCAGAAACTACCAAGGTAAGAAAATACGTRTAATTCCTTTCCAAATGATAGGGCACCATGAGAAATTCAGGAGATTCTGTAACAGTACATATAACCTTTAAAAAGTTCACAGTTGATTACATAAATCCAATATTTGCCTTTTKGTTAGCCCAGGCACCCTATATACTTAAAGTATGATAGGTAAACTATGAAATAATGCCTTTTAAAAACATTTAAAATATAAAGCCTACAGTTTCATCATTACAAATGAGAAATGAAGAGAGTGATGCCTTTTTCTGGGAAGAAAATTAGAAAGAGGAATTGTAAAAGCGTGTATAACCTGCACTAATACACCTAAATTCTAAATAGTCCATTTTTTCCATATATAACAACCATAATAAGGAAATAGAACAACCAGACTATATTTTTGGCAGTAAATATATATTAAACAAGAATCAGATACTGATTTATTGATTTAGATTATAATACATTCTCTAACTGAAAAGGCAAATCAATACATTGTTATATCTGCTTCTACATAATGTTTGTGACTGCCAGACACAAAATATTTTTAATGGTAAAACTTGCAAAAAAAAAGAAGAAATATAAACTAAAATTTTCAGCCTGGAAATGCCAAAAATAAGGATGCCTAGGAAGCTTCAATTTATCTTGTGTGTTTCTACATAATAAAGTCTAGAATTATATTATACATATTTTACCACCTGAATACCAGGAAATTCACCACTTGTGCATTACTCCCTTAAACCTACGCAAGCAGCTATTTGTTATGTTGCTCCTCATTTATTGTATTCTGTTAAAATACTGCTTTGATGGCAGCATTATCAGTTCCCTTCTTGCCTTCTGCTTTTATACATGGTTAGTATTGCAGTCCCCAAGTGCTGCACAACTATGTTAATTTTCAAAATAGTTCTGGTGGGTTTATGTAGAGTGATGTTGTTCTTATTTTACAGAAAGACTATTGAGGCACAGAAATTAATTTGTTCATTAATGTTTGCTAGTTATATTTTTTTTTCCTGTTTCTTTTTAAGTAGCAGAAAGTAAATTTGTAAAGCAAGTTTAAACTGCCAAGGTCTCATAAAAAAATTAATGACAGAGCCTACTTTTTCCAGGAGAGCACTTGTTTCCATGCATAACTTGTACAGATGGCAGGCAGCCCTTCACCAGACCCTCTGCTATAATTCAGCACTTCCAGTGTGGAAAGACTCTGGGCATATGGAAATACTTTAGTAAAAATACATTATAACCTAGTTAGATTTATTAAGACCAGACAGGCAATACACTCAAGTACAAACCACAAAATGGTGTTACAAGATGAATTGAAATAGAATGAATGCGACCTTAATTGCTTGACAAATACAATAATCTTCCCTAAGTAACTTCCTGAAATCTGCTATAGATGTTATGAAATAAGCTTAAATACTAAAGCAGTGAAAATAGGAAGGCGTATTAAAAAATGATTAAATAAGGCTATTCCTCTTAGCAGAACCATTAAACAAAAGATTTTGTTCATCTATAATTCTCCACCTCATTTAAACAGGCTTCAGAATAAGGAAACTTCCCTGTTTCACTAAATTACAGTTTCCAGAAGTATGACATTTGGTTWAAAAGTTATTATAATTTCAAAGGTTATCAAAAGGAAGATCTTTTGTGTTTGGTTCATCATTTAATGCAGTTAGACCTAAGAAGAACTTTGGTTCCCACAAAAAGAAAAGAACTTATATCAAAGAGTTTAAAACAAAACCAGAGAGGAAATCCTCTAAGATAGAAACCAGAAATTATTCTTTGTCATCKCTGAAGATGTCCAGGAATATACTGAGGAGTAATGATGTCTGTCTAATACTTTTCAACTGTAGCCACGATTGCTCAAGGAAATATAAAATCCTCTCCAGAAAACAGGGAAAGCAATTATTATTTATATTATATAAATGTTAKAATATTATTACATATAAGTATATTGGTCCACAATGAGAATGGTTGTACATATAAATTTATCAATTCAAGCATCAGACTAACATTAAGTCTGAMTTGATTAAAGGACAAAAAGAAGATTTGTATTTGTCGTATCTGTTTGCTTTGKAAGCTTTGGAATCAAAGGTAATTATCTGCACATGCCAAACATGTATTTTATGCTGTTATATTAAAACTGTAGCAGTCTTGCAACAACTTTTTTTGAATCTGAACTCTATATTAAAGTGAAAAAAATCCCAAATATAGTTATTATTTACCGCTGTAGAGGAGAGTATAATTGCATACCAGAGCATATTACATGAGCATCTTAAAAGACTTTTTTATCTGATATCTCTTCTATTTAAATTACACATGATAAATTATTGTTTCAAATACTATGTTCTTAAAACAAAGGTTATTAATAAACAAACAAACAAAAAAAAACCACTGGAACTAACTAATCATTCTCCACCGAAATGTCTACAATTTCAGACATTTAAACAATAAAGACAAGAGCTGTTGAATGCCTACAGTTCCTACAGAAACTACATGGTGGGCAGGATTTGAAATCTAGACCAAATTGTGTAGAAATTTAAAAACAACAAATAAAATAAACAAAGAAACAGATTACTAACATCTCTGAAATATTTGGAGCATTAAACTAATTATTTTCTTTATTCAGAAGTGAGTTCTCTGCATTGAGCCTACTGATGTTTCCATGCTACATAAACCTTTCTCTTGAACATGCAGTTATTGAAAAAACAAGCCAGAACACACACACGTATCCCAACAGCTTTTTATCCTCTAAGGCTGCCAGGAAATTCCACCTCACTCTGCAGCTTTCTCTGCTTTGAAACTCCTAGCCCTTTTATCTTCACATACAGCTGAAATGGATGAAAAATAATACAAAGGATCTAGTGCTTTGTGGTGTTTCCAGGCACTGTTATACACTGAGGAAGACAGAGCTTCAGATGCACAAAACTTGATTTTTCTGAAAGACCTTGGTAGCCAGCAYGCTTTCCTCTCTAACATGAGGATCCTCTCTGATCCAGTTAATGTGTGGTCAGATTATGGTAACACAATTTCTACCCCTCTACTGCCTCTAATAGTCAAACTTTAAACTGTCAGAAAATACTGTCAGAAAATACTATACGTACTTCTAATTCCATATTAGAAGTAAACAGAAGGGAAAGACAGGGTCAAGGAACAGCATATTTTCCTCCCAGTATTGGTCAGCAAGACTATTTCAGTACAAATTAGTGAGTGGTTTCTGATCTCTGCAGTATTACGGCATCACTAGCTGTGTAAAGATGGGTAGACAGGCTGGAAATACTGAGCATGCAATGAGATAAGAGGCAGGAGGTGAACTCTGTCCCTCATCTGAAGCTGAACACTGAAAAGTGGTAAATCCAGAAGTATTACTTTCTAATTTGTCACCCCTCTCCCTTC